CCTCCAGAATGTAAGACCAAAGGCCTTACCAAATGCTCCAAGGAGCTGACTGCAGCAAAGAACACCCGGGAAGGAACACACCGGACAAGTTGGAAAGTGAAACAGACCTTAGTCTGGCCAGACGGCACTCCCAAAACAAAGTAGTTTAGAGAGGCCGGAATGTTGTAGTTTTAATGTTCCTCCACAGGCCTATGTGTTGAAGGCTTTGTCCTGGGGTGGAGCCTTTGTGAGCTTGTGTCTTATGGAAGGAAAGTCCTCTGGTCACTGTGCGGTGACCCTAAAGAAGGTTGTGGGACTCTGGCTCCTTCCGCTCTTTTACTTCCTGGCTGATGAGATGAGAGCTTTTGGTCTGCTATGTGTGTTCTCTCATCACAAGCCAAAAGCAATGGGGCCAGCTGATCATAGCCTGGAAGCTTCAAAACCATGAGCCGAACTTTTTCCCTTCTATATTAATTACCTTAGGTGTTCTGCTGTAGTGAAAGAATGCTGGCCAACCCTCAGCTCTCAGTATGCTAGCATTGTGAGGAGTTAGAAATTTGGTTCAAGGTGAGTAAGTGGTGAAGCTAAATGCAGGACAGTTGACTTCTTAAAAAAGACATCACAAACCAGGGACACATAGTTAGTAGGGGTCTTGTCTTCATTCAACCTGAACAAGGGACACAAGCATGTGGGTCCAAAGAAGAGTAGAAAAGTTTTAACAGAAGTAGCAGTCTCCTGCTTTGCCCTTCTGTGCCCAGTCCTGCTTTCTTCTCCTGCAGGTGGTTTATTAAGCAACGGGCCCTTGAAAGCCAGCATTGTCTCCTAATCTCTGTGGGTCCAGTGCCCAGTGGGAGGGTGGAAGGTCCAGTGGCCTTAAGTCAACCGGCCCCCAGTTGGTCTTGTCCTTGAATCAGAATTATATCAGTTTTTTCCAACCAAGTTAAAAAAAATACTGTTAGCAAGTAAGCCTAACACACACAGACTAATGTCTCTATAACTTTGCTTATTTAGTGGTCAGATCTGTGGCCGTTCACTATTGAACACATTAACCAATCCATGCAGAAAACCTCGCAGTTCCAACTGTGAAATCCTCCATTCAGGGATTCCCAGATTCAGGTCTAACTCATCCATCTATTAAATTTCTCAGCTGCTCTTGATACTTTCTACCTTGTGTTAAATTCTAGATGATTCTCTGTCAGTACCATTTCCAAACAGAAGGAAGCAAATCTCTTCAATCACTCTTCAATCAAAGCCCTATGCCCTCCTTCCTTGACAGAGATAAACAGTCCCCAGGTCACAAACAAGTTGTTTATATTGATGTGTCAAAGAGAAGCCCTGGTTTAATAAGCTTAGTGGCCTGACCTGA